GGGGGGGGGGGGACACTTTGCTGGAGGAGAGATGATGGGGGTTCCTGGGCTTTTTCCCAGAGGCCACTGCCAGAGGGACTGTTGTCCCCTCACCTTCTCCGGCTGTGCTGTGTCAAAGACTGCTCATGATGGAGGTAACCCCCGAGGCAGCCCTTTCCAGCTACCCCGACAGGACAGCTGTAGGAACTCTAGTCGCAGGCAGAGGAGAGCTGGACTTAAGCTAGCCTGTTGGAAGAGCAGAGGGAAAATGCTGTTTTGACTTGGCCTAGGAGTTGGTCAGGTCTCAGCTCTGCCTCCCTGAAAAGGAGGGGGCTGGCCGTTTGCTTCCTCTTTTCTCCCCAAAAGGAAGCTTAGTCTTAGTGCAACAGGCCTGGACCTGCATTTCAGGGTTGCTTTGGTCCCTGTGATGCTGTCTTTGAAGTAAGCTTCTATCTAAGTGGGAAGTGAGGAGTGAATGAGCCCCTGCTGATCACACTGTTTAGAATCTTCTCAGGGGTGCTGGGTCTGGGGGTCCCATGGAGACTGCAACTTAGGGCTCTCTCTGTGGTTGTCTGCCTTCATGGTTATTTGCTGAGCTCTGTGGGGCTCCGTGCTAGATGCTGTGACGGGGTGTGAGGGGAAGTCATGAGTGACCCACACCCCTAAGGAGGGGGCTCACCTTGGCAACAAGAGAGGCCAGCTCACCGCTCCTTCCTGGTGAATCTTTCCAAGAGCAAGTTACATTAACTTCTCTGTGCCTGAGAGAAGTTTCCTCATCCGTGAGATGGGGCTGGCAATAATTACTTCCCTTTTTAAATATGTTTTTATTGATTTCAGAGAGAGGAAGGGAGAGGGGGAGAGAGAAACATCAATGATGAGAGAGCCATTGATTGGCTGCCTCCTGCATGCCCCCCACTGGGGATCGAGCCGGAAAACCCAGGCATGTGCCCTGACTGGGAATCAAACTGTGACCTCCTGGTTCATAGGTGACACTCAACCGCTGAGCCAAGCTGGCTGGGCATTACTACCCTTTTTAACCAAAAGAAATAATGCATGTAAAACAGTAGCATTGGACACAGAGCAAGTACCCAGCAAATTAGAGAGAAGCCAGCTTGCTTGGTCAGTGGTCTGACTTTTAGGCACTATGGGTATTATTTGCAAAAGTCCTGGTCAGGAAAGGCTTCCTGGAGGAGGGGAAGAGACAGTTATTTCAACTTGGTGAACGGTGCCTATTCTGGAAACAGGAACCCCATGGTGAGGAGTAGAAGCAGGGGCAGGAAACCTGCCAAACAGGTTGAAGGGCAGGAGCAGGTGAAGGAGAAAGGTGGGCTTTTGGCCCTGCATTCTCAGGGGAAGCAGGCATACAGGAGACGAGGGAAGCACAAACATCACGTTGCTCTTCCTCCCCTGGTTCCTTCCATATGTGAACTGTGTGTCCCCAGGGCCCTCTCCCTACACTTCCCTCTCCCTTCACTTCCTCCCACCTGCCCTTCCCCCACCAGGGCTGAGGTGCAGGACTCATTCCACAGCCCCGATCAGGTTGGACTCTTGAGGTGACTACAGGCATATTAATAACCCCTGTGAAACCCAAACCATCATTTGTGCGGACCTCTGAGCTTAGTCAGAAACCTCTACCTCCTGGGACCCGAAAGAGGGACAGAGGGAGCTGACACTGCAGTATCAGCTTTCCCTGAGTGAACCCAAGGGCCCACCCTGGCAGGTGTCTGCTGAGCTCGCACTTTCTCTTGGGTCTCTGGGGTTCCAGGGCGTGATTTCCCCCCAAGACGAGCTAAGCCACAGGTGGATACCCTAAACAGCCTCAGAACTGGGTCCCCCCTGCGCTGATAACTGGGCTCTACCCTCACTGTCCCAGGATACTCCTGGCCTGGTCCTGTCCCTTTTGGCTCCCTTAGCCCATGGGGAGGGGCTCTAGAAATTGCTAAATTAAGAAAGGGCTACAAATAAGTCATGGGAAGTATGTTTGCATAAAGTTGGTTTTCAGTTATTTCTACATCAGAATTAGCAAAGGAGCTTTTTAAAATGCTGAGCCCTGGCTGGTGTGGCTCAGTTGGTTTGAGTGACATCTCCCTCCCCCTCTCCCTTCCTCTCTCTCTAAAATCAATAAAAACATATCCTCGTGTGAGGATTTAAAAAATGCTGATACCCAGGTTCCATCCGGCCGAGCCTGGGATTTAGTTGAGGTGGCGAGGAGAGGGAGGCTGGCAGCTGTGTCTTTTAAGAGCTCCCCAGTGATTCCAATGGGCAGCCGAGCAAAGACTGCAGAAAAGGCTCGGGTCAGACCACTGAGACTGTGCTTTCTCCACAGCCAGCGATTGTTCCCGAAGTGTCTGCTTAACAATGCACAGGGTATTTCTATGAGGGCTTTGGGGGACTCTCAGGGTTTGAGGGCCAGCTAGGGCATGAGCATCAGTTCTGAGACCTGTCACAACCTGGTCCTATGGGACACCCAGTCTACATTCCTCCTCCCCAGACCAGCATCCTGCCTCGTTGCTCCTATGGCAGGAGGACAGCGGTCACGACCCCATGACCAGAGGCATCCAGGTGCAGGACTGAGGGCGAACCACCCGCGTGGGAGAGGCAGGGCACAGCTGCTTGCAGGCAGCTTTGTTTGGAAGCATTGGTCGACCAACTGCTGCTTCCACCTGTCTGCTGAATCCCAGTAATCCTCATTTGGTATCCCGGTCACCGAGGGGTGTGGCAAATAGGGGCCCTGCTGAGCTTGCATTTTCCCACCTCTTGGGGTTCCCAGAGGCCCCACCTGAATTCCTTCAGGAAATCTTTGCCCCCTCAGCTGCCACTGGCTTGAGAGCAGAGCCTTTCTGTGGAGAGCTGGCTTGACTCCCTCAGCCTGTCCTATTTTGTCTGGGGGCTTGAGGGCATGGAGAAGGGTCTCCTCAAGGAGATGAGGCTGACTGTTTGGGTCAAAAGGAAGCCTGCCATTTCCAGCTGGCGGTGCTGGGGCTTACACCAGAGGAGTATGAGAGTGATCGGGCCTGGGGGAGCTACCCTCCCTGGAAAACACTGTCTCCTTCCCATGTTCTGGGGTCCCAGGTGTGACCCTGAGTGTGCTGGAGCTCTGCATGGTAAGGCTAGACATAGCTGTGTAATTCAGGGTGGGGGGTACAGAGGAGCACCTGCATCTACTCTGAGCCTGGTCAGGCCAGGACAGGTCTAGAGATGGCCCTGGAAGAAATCACATCTGGTGGGAGGGGGCCCAGGCTGCCAGGGCTGTGTGTCCGCCTATTGTGTTGTCTAGTCTGCCCTGGGGTGAGAATGGAGGTGCAGGCTGCTGCGAAACCCACTTGTGTGGGTGGGTGTCCTGCAAGGGCGTGAGGTGGGTCCGGGGACAAGACTGGTTCCTGAGGTCTTAAGCTGCTCCTGTGTTTCATCTGTCCTATCTCCTCTCTGCCTTCCCCAACAGCTCTGCTCTACAAGCCCATTGACCGAGTCACCAGGAGCACCCTGGTCCTACATGTGAGTGTCCACCCCCTGCATGGCCAGGGGCTGGTTAGGAATTCAATGGGAGATTGAGCCAGGGTGGGCAGGTGCTGGAGTTACTGAGAACAGCCCATTTGGGAAACTGGGCGGAGGGTCCCTGGGCCCCAACTTGCCTTCCTGGCCTGTGGTAACCATGCCAATGGGGCCAGGACCTAAATATAGCTGGGCTACTAAGCTTGACATTTGGCCAAATGCTCCCTAGGAGGCAGGCACTTCCTGCCTCCCCATCCCTTGCCTGATGGTCTCCAGTGTCCTTGGAGCAGCTGTGGGGTGGGTAGATGGGTGTCTCTCCCAGCTGCTTGATGAGCTGAGACTCCACCTGGCTACCCCCCAGCCTGGAGTGGGGGGAGAGCAATGACTTCAGCAGAAATAAAGGGCACCACTGCCTTTACCCCTGCTGCCCCTAGCTTTGCAGGCATTACCAGATTAGAGTGTGGATCCCTGAGTACCTTCCCTTAGAATTCTTTTAGTGAGAATTGAGTGCTCCCCAATGTCTTCTCATTAAGCCCCAGAACTCCCCTCAACTCACCACCCCAACCCTCTCCAGGACCTGCTGAAGCACACACCTGTGGACCATCCAGACTACCCACTACTTCAGGATGCCCTCCGCATCTCCCAGAACTTTCTGTCCAGCATCAATGAGGACATTGACCCCCGCAGGACTGCCGTCACAACCCCCAAAGGGGAGGTGAGCTCAGGACCCAGCACAGCCTCGCCCAGCACACCAGCTTACCCATCCCTCCTCTCCTGCACTCAGACATGCTGCCCGGTCCCCTCCAGCCCTGCTCCCTCTTCCCAGCCAAAGGAGAGGCCTTCGGGCCCTGAGCTAACAGCTTTAAGTCCAGTGTCTCATTAATCTTCATAACTCTCCGCTGTGGCAGAAGAGGAAACTAAGGCCTGGGGAGTCTAACCAGGTCTGACACAAGATCTCTTAGCCACAAGTGTCAGAACTGGATTCTTTAGCTGGGGTTATCTGTCTGCAAGCCCTGTGCACTGTCCCCCATTCCGGGGACTCTGGAGGCTCTGGCTATCTCATTCTTGAATGTATCCCCATGGATAGTATGATGTCCTCAGGGCCCCCTGGAAAATAATGGCTTAGTCTGAGGGAGCTCGGGGAATCTGAGGGAGTGGGAGCTCTGAGCTGCCTCTGATCAGCCCACATGAGCAGGCGGGAGAAGCTAGGGAGTGAGCCCATAGCAGGAAACGGTGGGAGAGGTGGCTGAGGCAGCCCGGTTCCTGGAATGTCCCAGGTGGGTGCCTAGATGTGGCACAGCAGCTCCAGTTCCCTGGGGGCCCTTCTTGGCAGAAAGGGGGGGGGGGCAGTGAAGG